GGTACCGTATGTGGTGCCAGGTGTTAAACATGGGTTAGATCCATGCAAGACAAGAGACGTTCCTGCTGTACTATAGCTCTGGCCCAATCCTATTGATGAACTTCCAAAAGCCTCTCTTCTGCTTTTCATTGCTATACTCAGGGCAAGCTCATATCCGCCTTTTGTTTGAGGTTGATGACCCCCCCCTCTCTGTCTTTGCACCAGTTGTGAGCTGGATAAAACCCTTTTGGTTCTAATATCATTTTTCTTGGATGTTGGAAAGAGAAAACAAACTGCTTTTTATGTATGTACTTTGATTCTGGACTTTTGTTCCTTTGCCCCCTCAAGTGTTGGCTGCAGTGAGAAGTACTCATATTCAGCAATCTACATGTTTTATCCACTTTATAGGCTCTCAAAAAAAAAGTTTTAAATTCCAGGATTACTTTCTTTAATTGGGGAGTAGTAATTGGTGTTTGGCGGGGGGGGGGGGGGGGGGGGGGTTGCGGAGAGATGCTGTCTCATCTACCTCTTGCTCTGTGCTTAGAAAACAAAACTTCAATATTAACCTCACCCAAATCAATTCTGATAGTAATCTTCTAATAAGGCTCATTTTTCCTCCTTTACCAGTATGTTTTTATCCATTAAGCAAAATTTAAACAGACCAGATTCTCAAGCTAAAAAAGTGTTTGTTTCACTGTCTTACTTGGCAGTGTTCTGTTATTATCAGCTTCTCTCTCCACGTACATAGGGAAGAATTTCAGAGAGAAGTCTGATATTCAGATAAATTGTCATTTCTTTGTCTTTTTTTAAAAAAAATCCCCGGGGGCATATTTTACATAACACAACAGAAATAAAGTTTAAAAAAGTATTCTGAATAGAAAAATTCAAACACTTCAGAGTTTCTGTTCTGGTACAGCCAGAATATTGTGCTGATTTTGGGGATTAATGATCATTTCCTCCCTGTTTGAAGTACCATTTATTGCTGAAAACCTGGTTTAAAAAAACTGCTCTGGGCAAAAATATTTCTCCCAAATATTTCTGAATCAGTTACTATATTGAAATTTCTTTGCTGGAGATCATTTCTGAATTCTCCTTTTGAAAGGACAACATGGATTGTTGCAAATTCATGAAACAAATCCCTGAATAAAGTAGTTACCAAACTATAAATGCTCCAAGGCCAAGTTCAACTCCAACCAAGAAAATAAACAAAATCTTAAGGTGGGAAAATGACCCTGTGGTAATAAAAATTTAAAAATTTGCATATTTCTTCAATTTTGTCCACTAAAAGAACTACACATCAAATAACCAATATGATCACTTAGCTCAGTGCTTGTAGTTTGAAGAGTTGTTTTGGTTTTGGTGAAATTTGAAAATGAAATGAATGCATACCATTTATAATTTTAGTTTTTCAAAACAAAGCCAGGCAGTTTCTTAATTCAATTTCTGAGTGTGCTTCTTTAGCAAAAGTGGGAAATATGTATCCTACTTTCAAATCCACAGAATAAAGTGGTTCAATCACTTGAAAAAAGATTTTGACAGTTTTAGGCCTGTACAACAGATAAAGCTCTTGCCTTGCACATGGCTGACCCTATACAATCCTTGGAATCACATAGGGAATCCAGAGTCCCAGCAGGAGTGACCTCTGAGCACAGCTGGATCTGACCCCAAACAAAAAAAAAGAAGAAGAAAAGAAGAGAAAGAAAGATTCTGACAGTTTCTTAAAAGGTTAAACATAAACTTATCATATGAACCAACAATTCCACTCATGGTACATTCCCAAGAGCAAATGAAAACACAAATTTCACATGGATATTCATAGCCATTTTACACATGAGTCCAAAAACGGAAGTCATCTTATGCCCATTAACTATTGGATGGAAAAACATAATTGAGCATATCCATACAAAAGTTACTACTCAGAGGTAGCAGCAACAACAACAACAGAAACCATACTAATTCTTACTATAGCATGGCTAATCCTTAAAAATATTCTGCTGAGAATAGGAGTCCAGATGTAGACAATTACACATTGTGTGATTTCATGTATAGGAGGTGGCATGAAAAAACAACTCTACAGCAGAAAAAGCTGATCAGTGTTTGAGGATTCAGATAGGAAGAGGGGGTGCAGCAGATGGGTGTGGAGAGAGGTAGCCTGGAGAAAAGGGTGCTTTAAACTCTCATAATCTCCAAACTATTTTCTTTCCTTTAAGAGTTTGTTTTTGCTTTACTTGATAGATCATTTACTTAACTTTTCTATCCACAAATGAATGAAATCACAGGCTATTGGTCTTTCTATAACTCTACAAGTTCCATTCAGGTTTTTCCTTTTGGTAAGGAAAAGAAAGTCCTTGGCAAGATTTCATCTTTCTCTATACTTTTATACTTATACTTTTCCTCTTCCTCCACCTTCTCCTTCTTCCTGTGAGATAGTTAAAAAGTTTTTCAGGATCAGGTTTCAGTCATACAATGTTCCAACACTTGTCCCTTTCACGATCATCCTGTTGTGCCTCGAGCAGGCCGCAGTAAAGTCTCCTTCTCCTAGCCCAGAGATTTTAAAAAGTGCCATAGTCAAGGCTCTTTCAGGATTAGGAGAATGAGACCCATCATTGTTACTGGTATTTGGCATATTGGGTATACCACGGGGAATTTGCCAGACTCTGCCGTGTGAGCAGGTTACATTCGTTAGCCTGCCAGGTTGTCCAAAGTAAGAATAAGATAATAAGATGTTGCGTGGCCGCTTGTCCCTTTACCAGTGTACATTTCCCACCACTAATGTCCTCAGTTTCCCTCCCGCCAACACTCTCAGCCTAGCCTGCCTCTATGGCAGGCACTTTCTCTCTCTCTCTCTCTCTCTCTCTCTCTCTCTCTCTCTCCCTCCCTTCCTCCCCTCTCTTCTTTTTCTCCCTTTTAGACATAAAGGCTTACAATACATGAACAAAAAGGTTATCAGGTTTATACACCCCGTTACATCCTTTCATCACTCATTTCTGTCCAGAGTGAACATTTCCAGTTATCACTGTCATCAGTCCTCTCTATGCTAATTGCCCTCCCCTGCCCGCTTGTGGCAACCTACCAACCATGGGCAAGTCCTCCTGGCCCTTGTTTCTACTGTCCTTGAATACTTCTATGGGTACTTAGCTATTATGAATAATATTGCAGTGAAGATCTGTTCTTCAGATAAATACCCAGAAATGAAATGGCTGGATTATGTTAAGTCTAAATCTTGACACATAAAAATACATAAAAGGAACATTATGTCAAATGACATGAAACATGATACAGACTTTATTAATGATCATGTAATGTTGGAAAAGTCACTTAACAATCAGGGTCTTCATTTAATCAGGAAAGCAAGCGGGTTTAATTCATAATTTTCAGTTTTTCTGGCTCTGAAATTTCTGATTCTGTGTGTTATCTTACAACCACAGGTACCAAGATACACCAGATTATGCTACTTGGTGATAATCTTCAACATAAAGTATACACTATCCTCCCGTTGTTCATCGATTTGCTCGAGTGGGCCCAGTAACATCTCCATTTTGAGACTTGTTGTTACTGTGTTTGGCATATTGAATACATCACGGGGAGCTTGCCAGGCTCTGCCGTGGGGGCGAGATACTCTCAGTAGCTTGCCGGGCTTTCTGAGGGGCGGAGGAATTGAACCCGGCTCAGCTGGGCTGGCTGCGCAAGGCAAATGCACTACCACTGTGCTATCGCTCCAGCTTTAAACATAAAGTATGTGTGAAGATTCACTGTAACATACAGCCATGAGCAAAATCAGCCTGACAGCTTGCACAAACAGTTGTGAAGGAGTCATTGAGAATCGGGCAGAATACCCGACTCTTCAGGACTGCATGCTTTGGAACAGTACTGGACACATAACACATCTCCACTACTTTAATGTCCTAGCACAGACCATTAACATTACTAAAAAAAATGCTGCAGGCATCTGCAGTGCTAAATGCATTCACTGTCTCCTCACCAGTCTCTTGCCTACAACTCATTCAATCCATTGCCATAAAGGGTTTCCTGACACATAGTAGCTGTGATTCCGTCATTCCTCTGCTTGTAAACTCTCCCCTAGGCATTTCATCTCTCAGGTGATAAAACCAAATCCTTCTCAGGTTTATAGAGTTGGTTTTTGTTTTGGTGGGCCCTGATCCAAACTACTCTTCCAAACTTCTTTGTTCTACTAGTGTCCCTAGAGCTTGCATTCCAGGCAAAATAAAGCCCCCGAAGGTTCAGTATTTGAAGGCCATTTAAAAAACACAGACGTCTAATTTTTGTAGAATAATTTATGCTTTCCTGCCAGCATACAAGCTTCTCTGCGTGCAAGGATAGTTATGTTCAGCTCCTTGGCCTGTGCTGGTCTCCAACGTAATTTATTCCCCATTATCCACGTACTTCAAATTCTTCAAAAAAAGTCGAAGTGCCAAGAGTCAATGTGCAAATGGCAAATTTTTATTTAAAGAGGTCAAATTTTTAATTAAAGAGGACAAATCTTTATTCCAAGTTGCATTCTGGCCTCCCTCTCTTGACCTCACACCATCTATCTTCGTCTGTGGTTCATCACTTCCTACTTGGAGCTGAAATTTCCTGCTCTCTGGCAATCCCAGCAATCGAAGGCTACAGGACACCCGTGGACCGCCTCTGGGTCCTGAGCGTGCTCGCGGGCCCTAGCGGCACAGGCAGCTGGCGTTCGCTCAGTCACTGCGACGCAGCCTGGCCCTGAGTGCCCACCCGAGGCCGAGGCCTCAGGCGCAGGAGCCTGGAGAGGCTGGCGCAGGCCAACCGGCCCCGCTCCACGCGTGCGTCCAGCTCTCTCCTCGTCCCCCCACCCCCGCGGCGAGCTAGGCAGAAGGGCCAGCGCTGCAGCCGCCTCCCTCCCCGGGTCTCCACTTCCGCCCCCGCACGGCCCGCGGCGGGGGGCGGGGCGACCGGCCGCGCGCTCCGGGCCCGCCCCTTGACGTCATCACGCCGTGCCGCGGCGCGCGGCGGCGCTTTAAAGGGGCCGTGTCCGGGGGTCGCGCGCGGGCGCGCGCGGCAGTGAGGAGTGGGGCGGAGCGTGCGCGGCGCCGCCGCCGCCCCTGCGGCCTGGGCCGGAGCCGCCGCGGACGACGAGGTGGGCGGAAAAGGCCGCTGGGGAGCGGGACGCCGCCGGGACGCTCGTGAGGGCGGGCGGCGGCGAACGGGGCGCTTCCCCGCCAGCCCTTCTCTCTCTCGCCCCGCCGCGGCCTGAGACCCCGGCGCGCCGCGGGCCCGGACGGACGCCCCCCCCCCCCCCACGCACCCCGGGGCCCCGCGCTGCCCCTCCCACCCCCGCCTCGCCGTCGCGGGGCGCGGCTGGCTGGGACCCGGGCGCTGGGGCCACGTGCGCTGGCGCCGCCGCCGCCGCCGCCGCCGCCGCCGGGGCCTTCTGACGCCCGACACGGACCGGGCTGCGCGCGGGTGTCCGGCCCCGGGTCTGAGCCCTCCCGGCGCGCGCGTCCGTCCGCGGCGGGGTCCCGGCCCGCACCCTCGCCCGCCCCTGACGCCTCTGCTTCCCTCTCCCCCCCCCCCCACCTCCGCCCCTCTTAAGCGCGTGGATTCCGCGGAAGTTCGGCCTCCCTGGAGCCCGCGCAGAGTTGCCCGCTAGAGTGGCCCTAAATGTAGGAGCATGAGCCCCACGGTGACCATGGGGGAGCCAAGGCTGAACTGGTGAGTTCGCGGCGTTTCCCTTCGTGTGACTCCCGTCGGGGCCGTCGAGCCCCCTGCTGCTGGCCGGACCCCGGAGAGGCGTGGGCCCCGGGAAGGGTTATTTAGCCGTAGAGCTTCTCTGGCATGTAGCTCCCCGTTTCCACGCTCCTGACCCCAGCCCTGTGGAGTTAGAACTGACGCCACGTGACTCAAGTGCCTGACAGCTCAGCCCTCCAAGTTACCCCCGTGCAATTCCATGTGTACTTCACGGGCTGCTTGAGAGCTGCTGGGATTTTCTAGTGCCCCAAGAACCTGACTCCTGCCTGCAGCATGTGGTTTAAAAGGCCCTAAGCTTTTTTGCAACCGTTACCGGTTGTATGTACGTTAATAAAGGGGCAAGGCAGTTTTAGAGGTGTAGGAAAGCTTCACAAATAGAGGAGTCCTTTAAATGCGGTGACTTAGATCAGTTCAACACCCACTTTACTGAATAGTCTACTTATTGCTAGCCAAGAGTACAAGAGAATACAAATTCTGTTAAAACTGCCCGATTCAAAGAAAAATTTGCTCATTGCAAACAATACTCCTTTGAGTCAATGCTTCGTGCCCATGTCTTTGGTATGAAGTGCTAAAAGGTAATGCGATGTCATAGATACAAACAGCAACATGTCAAGTAGTAAGAAACTATACTGGTGGGTACGAAGATAACCAGATTTTAGCTTTTCTGCCTTAAACGTAGATTTCACGTAAGAAATGAGTATGAAACAAATTTGCTAGGATTTGCCATTTGGGCAATGGCCAGGCAAAAATTAGCATTTGAGGCAGATAGTACCGAGATTTGAGTGCATGATTTGCAGATGGTGAACCCCGGTTAGATTCCAGCACCCCATACGGTCCTCTGAACACAGCTGGGTTTGCTGAACCTCCCCCCACAAAAATGTTAACTTGATTATTGTAAGTATTAACAAGTGCACATTTATGCTATTGGACTTAAGAATGTGTTCACATACTCTTTTTGTTTTGGTAGCACTTACTCCTGACTCTGTGCTCAGGGATTACTCCTGGAGGTGCTCAGGATACCTGATGCAGTGCTGGGGATTGAATCTGGGTCCACTGTGGGCAAGGCGAGAACTACTATCTCTAATTCCCTTTTGCTGTTAAGATGTCTTTGACATATGGAGCCAAATGTGGTTTAGAATTGCACAGTATTGGAACTAGCTTCCTACCAAATTATGCTAATCTTTGTCCTCAGGTTAATGGATCTCAGTGTACAAAAGGTTTAATTTCTTTAATTTAGTGTTTATTGGATGCTTACTATATGGAAAATGTTCACCTAGCCTCAAAGTTAATTATGATGTTACAGAAAATTATAGCTGACCTGTGAAGTGGTTTTAGCTAAGGCACACACCTTTGCCAAGTTAATGGAAATAGGATGCTCAGTCTTTGTAGTGGTGGCTTCTGACTTGTCCCACGGAACAAAAATGGGAAGCATTTTCCGTCAACAACCAGACACAGAATTAGAGGTGAACTCTGCCCCTGAGTGACCCCGTTTTGTACTTCAGTTTGTTTTCTGGTATCTCTGACATATAATTGGATACTAAAGGGAAATGCCAGTTTGGTTGTGGACCTGGGGAATTAACAAAATGGGCCTAAGCAAAGAGCTGTTAAAAAAGTAAAACATTTAAACTCAGACATCTAATTCATGAAATGAGAACTATTCAGAGGGGAAGTGGGGTGTAGAAGGAATGTAGTTACAGATTACAGCTGTAGTTAAAAATTATGGTGCTTAACGTAACATGGAATTTTGATTTTCAAATGCAAGTGGATTATTTTGTTTTCACAGGGATATTGCCCCCAAAAATGGCCTTCAGACATTTTTCTCTCGAGAAAATTATAAAGATCATTCCATGGCTCCAAGTTTAAAAGAACTGTATATTTTATCTAACAGGTAATGTCTGTTTGGTTATTTTTATATTTGATTTCTTTTTGAGAACTGAAGTTTTACATTTGCTGCACAGATTATGAAAATGTAAAAATCAGAAAATAGAAGAACCCAGTACTTAGACAGCTATTCTTTGTTATATGTCTACTCACCTTTCTCCACATATGGACATATATATAAAAATCAAAATGAGGGCACACTGTAATACAGTAAAATTTTGCATTTTCCTTTTATTTAAAACATTATCTTGTCTCTTTTTATGCCCCTGCATATAGTTTAATCTTCTTACTAGTTGCTTACTACTCCACTGTATAGATAAACTTCAAAAATTAATTTAGCTATTCTGGGGATGAACAGAACTCTGCCTGCCTAGTCTGCCTGCCCCAGGTACAGCCCATGACCCCTAGCACTGCTGGGTTAGCCCTGAACCAATTGACACAGCATCCTCAGGATGGCCTGGGCTGCTGAAGAACTGCTGAACAGGTCACATGTAAAAGTGAGTCACTCAACCAAAAAAGAAGTATTGATGCCATCAAACTCAGGGCCACATAGATGGCAAGGCATTTCCTATACCACTGAGCCACATCCTCAGCCCCTGAAATACATTAAAATTAGCTTGTCCTACATTACAGACTGTGTAACTTTTTTTTTTAATTGTAAAAAAATATACTGATGAGCTTTCTGTAATTTTATGAGATAAAGAGATTGAACTGTTTGGTTAGATGTATGTATTTTTTGTTTCATATTTTAATAGATATTACCCAACAACCAGAGGTTATAGAAGTGCCTTGTAGTAGTGTTTCCCTCCTTACCATTCATATGGGGCTGGAGCAATAGCACAGCGGGTAGGGTGTTTGCCTTGTATGCAGCTGACCCGGGTTTGAGTCCTCTGCCCATCTCGGAGAGCCCGGCGAGGTACCGAGAGTATCTCGCCCACACAGCAAAGCCTGGCAAGCTCCCTGTGACATATTCAATGTGCCAAAAAGAGTAACAGAAAGTCTCACAGTTTGTTGTGAGGCGTTACTCGGGCAGATCAATGAACAACGGGAGGACAGTGCTATTGCTACAGTGCAGTGCAGTGCAGTGCTACCATTCATACAAGCTGCCCGTAGATCTTCTTTTTCTCTATGATTCGCTGTTTCTACTCTGTTCTGGATGACTCTAGAAACCATGCGATTAGGCTTATTAGAAGTATAAATGCACTGCATTTAAGGTATCAGGAACTCTTCTCAGGGAACTTTTTCCACCACTGTTTGTGAAAAGGGCCCTATTTCCTGACTCTCTCCCCTCTCTCCCCTCTGTTCATCAGTATCCCCAAATCAATTGTATCTCTGTTTTTTTGGTCAGTATTTAAAGATTTAAGTATGCTCCCTCTTAATCCCATTATTTTAGTTGAAGTGATGTTGTTTTATAAAGATGTGAATGTTTGTATGGTTCAGGGGTACATCTCCATAAGAATGTTAATGTCCCTTCACAGCTATCTGGAGGCCCCTTCCTCTTGCCTCCTAGATAGCCTCAACTCTATTTTCAGAGGCAGAAAGTTTGCTTTTACCAAGTTGCTTTTTTCTCTTATTTCAATATCTTGTTTTTCTCTTTTCTTACTCTCTTATTTTGTCGCTCTTCAGCTATTTGTATGTGCTTGCTCAGAGGAAAGAAGAGACCAGAAATCTCTAAGACCTGTAGAGGACAATGAGGTGATAATATTAAGTCCTTCCTGATTAATCAATACTTACATTAAAATTTCTAATCCGAAAAACTACAGAATGAATTTTTCAAGAGCATTAAAAAACCTTTCCTACTGCACTTGGTCTCACTGCACATCACCATGGCCTCCTCCCATGCCAGTCTTAGCTGCTCCCCAGGGTCCTTTATGAGCTTTTGGCTTGACATTCACTCAATGACCTAGATTTCTGGTTCTAGGGTATTTCTCAGGCTCTTCTGCCAGTTTCTCCTTCAGGCTTTCCATACGGGCTCATTAAATCCTGGGACAGCTTTTTAAAATACATTTACTCTCTCAACTCAGGTTTTTGGATCCGAATCTCTGTGTCTTTGGATATTTCCATGTCTTTGGATGCAACCTTGATTTCGTATGCATATTGAAATCTGCGCATACATTATTATACCCCTCTGATTGCTTGGTGAGAAGGCCTACATGGCATTCTGCTGTATGTGCCCTTCCCCAATTCCAAACATACCTTGGTCACCTTTTGTTGCTAATGCATATAAGGTGGCCTCATTATAACTGTATAGTATTCTATTGTGAAATACGTATTTTAAATGGACTCCATTGTACTACCTTAAATTGTTTCTATTTTTTTACTATTAGCATAGGAGTGTGGCTGGTATAAATTGGACATATTCTTAAAACTGAAGGACATGTATATTGCTAACTTTGATAGATATAGTCAAACACTGTTTAAGAATGTAAGTATGTTCTGAGATATGCTTGGTACGGCGATTTCATCTTTGAATACCACATAGCTGTGGTTTTCAACTTTTCTATGTCTGGCACCAGTGGGCCATAATTTGAAACTTGCTGTGAACTAAGTAAGATAGACTAGTGGTTTTCCACCTCCTCACCTGAGACAGGCACTACCTCGAGGATACAGGAGAACTCACTTAAGACTGTGGGGTGGTGTGGGTTAGCATGTTAAGAAGACTGCAGTTTATATAATCTTATGTTGATTGAAATGCAGTTAAGCAATGTATGCACTGTACTTCCAGAACTGCATTGTAGCACTTCCCGTTCATCGATTTGCTTGAGCAGGCACCAGTAATGTCTCCATTGTGAGACTTGTTACTGTTTTTGGCATATCGAATATGCCACGGGGAGCTTTCCAGGCTCTGCCGTGCGGGCAGGATATTCTTGGTAGCTTGCCAGACTCTCAGAGAGGGATAGAGGAATTGAACCCGGGCTGGTCGAGTACCAGGCAAACTCCCTACATGCTGTGCTATCACTCCAGCCCATTGTCATATAAAATATTTGTTGATTCCAGTTCACTCTATCACTGTCATCCTGTTGTTCATTGATTGCCTTGAGCAGGCCCCAGTAACGTCTCCTTCGTCCAGCCCTGACATTTTAAAAAGTGCCACATTCGCGGCTCTTTCAGGGTCAGGAGAATGAGACCCATCATTGTTACTGGTTTTTGGCATATTGAATACGCCACGGGGAGTTTGCCAAACTCTGCCGTGTGGGCAGGATACTTTTGTGCCAGGTTCTCCAGAGTAAGAACTAGATAATAAGATGCTTCCGGGAGCTGGGTTTTATAGTCTTCTGGTTTTATAGTCTCTTGGCCGTTGATGGGATTACATGGCGCCGGGGACAATTGGTGGGTGTAATGCCTACATACTGGAAGATGGGGCATCTAGGTGGAGGAGGCCCCAGTACCAATCCGAGCAGGCTTGGAGATCTACACCCCAGGTCCTGCACACCTGGGTTCCTCTGCCAGTTCCTTCATGCGTGAGGCTCATCCAAATGTGTGAAGAGTGGTCTTAAGCGTGGCTGTGGCTGGAACCAGAGGTCTTCAGCTGCTGGGGCTCTGCTCGGGGTAGGGAGGGAAACTCAATCCACCCTCTTCCAAGGGGCCCCAGTGAGGACAGCCAGGTGAGGAGGCAGGAGACTCTGCTGTTCTCTTCTGGGAGCAGGGTTTTATAGTCTCTGGGTCTTGGCCATTGATGGGATTACACGGCACTGGGGGCAGTTGGTGGGTGTAACGCCTACATACTGGAAGATGTGGGATCTGGTTGGAGGAGGCCCCAGTCCCAATCTGAGCAGGCTTGGAGATCTACACCCCGGGTCCCGCACACCTGGGAACGTTCCTCTGCCAGTTCATTCATGCATGAGGCTCGTCTGAACTAATTCCTGTTAGTGAGTATATAACTTCACACAAAAGCAAATAAAAGTTGTATTAGAGACAATTTCAAAAATAAGTGTTTTAAGGTTGTCCACTCTTGCCACCCTATTCAATATAGTAGCACTGCACTGCCCTCACGTTGTTCATCGATTTGCTTGACCTGGCCCAGTAACGTCTCCATCGTGAGACTTATTGTTACTATGTTTGGCGCATTGAATACGTCATGGGTAGCTTGCCAGGCTTTGCCGTGTGGGCGACATACTCTCTGTAGCTTGCCGGGCTCTCCAAGAGAGGCGGAGGAATTGAACTCGTGTGGGCCGTATGCAAGGCAAACACCCTACCAGCTGTGCTATTGCTCCAGCCTGGAAGTTATATGTACTATAGCAGTTAGGCAAGAAATAGATATCAAGGGCATCCAGATAGGAAAGGAAGAAGTCAAACTATTTGCAGATGACATGATACTATACTTAGAAAATCCTAAAGAATCTACAAAAAAAAAAGCATAGAATTGTCTAGTATAGTAGCAGGTTACAGTACTCAAAAGTCCATGACTTTCCTATAAACAAATAATGAAAGAGAAGAAAGAGATGTTAGAAAAACAATCCAGTTCACAATTGTGCTGCAGAAAATCAAGTCCTCAGATTAATCTTAACTAGAGGTGAAGGACCTATACAAAGAAAACTATAAAATACTAGTTTAAGAAATAAGAGGGCATGAGGAAATAGAAACACATCCCCTTTTTATGGATTGGGAGTATTAACATTGTCAAAATGCAGTACTCAAGGCATTATACAGATTCAGTGCTGTCTCTCTAAGGATACCCGTGATATTTTTCAAAGAAATACATCAAATGCTCTTAAAATTCATATGGAACAATAAACCCCCATGAATAGCTAAAGCAATGCTTGGAAAAAAGAAGATGGGAGACATCACCTTCCCCAACTTCAAACTCTGCTACAAAGCTTAGTAATCAAAACAGTATGGTAATAGAATAAAGACAGAGACCCAGAAATCAGTGGAATAGAGTTGAATATTTATACACTGACCCTCAGATATATCAAATATTAATTTGATAAAGTAGCAAGAAATATGAGGTGGAGCAAGGAAAGCCTCTTCAACAAGTGGTGCTGGAAAAACTGAGTAGCTACATGC